GGGGGCCCTATGCATCTGCATAGTCCGCCTATAGGAAGAAATGGCCCAAGCTGCCCCTCCTTAAGAGATAGCAGCAATACCCAAGGCCGTAGACCTATGCCATGGGAAAGGAGACCGTGAAGAGAGAAAACGATTAACTGTGTCGAAGGTTGAATACCTAAGCAAATTATTATATATATATATATACTTAAAAATGTGATGTTAACATAATGCATTTATAAAAATGTGAAGATATTCATGTAAAATGTAGTGTCTTTTTAACATGAATATATTTATAAAAAATAATTGGTCACAAATTGAACTTCTGGTCGAAGTGGATGCACCCAAGTGTTAAAAAAATCACTTCCACAAAATGTCCTTCCTGTGTGCCGGGCGGAGGTTTCTCTCCTCTGACCTGGAGGTGAGTCGCTGCTTGTCTCATTATCAGCGGGTAAATATCCTCTCTCTGACGTCAGCGCTGCTCACATATAAAATCAAATCCTTCATCTCTGAGACACCTCCGTGTACAGAGGACCGTCTGAGGCGTCCTGCGTTTCCCAGAGTCCTTCAGTGTCCGAGTCGATCAGCGGCATCATGGTGAGTCGAAGGATTCTGCTCCTCAGCGCCTCCTGCTGGCTGCTCGTTGCGCTCGGAAACAGCGAAGAGCGATCGCCTGAAGACGTCATCGTTACACAAGAGGAGCGAAAACTGGTGAGTGAAGAAACCAAAAAATATACAGAAGCCTGTTTCTGCCGATGTGATTATAAAAATACATTCTGGAAGTACTTGAGGTTTTTTTAAACACCCCCAAAATGTTTTTTATTATTCAAAGAAAGTATTTAAATATGACGTCAAGTATTTTTAAAATTAGGCTTCATCTCATTCTTCTATCTGACTGGTGAAAAAAATATGGGTTTTTTTGTAATCTGAATCATCATGTCAAGAGGGAAGAAGTTATCCAATATATTATTTAAATATTTGTTTTATTAGACTAGGTTTTCAGATTGAAAAAGCAAATGTGCACAGAAATTATAAATATACAATAATAAAAAATAGAGACATGATTACAAAAATATTTACATTATGTCTGACTCAAAAGTGGAAGAACAGTGAATCCTGAGATGTCTCAGCAGACTGAGACCCCGTTTACACGAGGACAAAACGGGTTGTTGGATCCGCATAGCTTCTCTTGCGTATAGCCCTTTCATTTACACGAGGCCGTAACAAAACAATAGAAACGGACCCAACAAACGATAACGGGTCCCAAGGTGGATAGATTTGCAAACGAAATGCTCTGGGGGGTCAAACGGCTCCGTGTAATCGCCTCTATAAGCAGGGGTGCACATAAGTGGTACGCAGGTACGCATGCGCGGCAACAATCTGAAATGCGTACCGTCACTTGTGTCACAAAGCGCATTTGCGTACCGATGTATATGTGAAGCTTTTCCATAAGGCGGTTGGATCACCGGACGACGGAGTCGGTCTCCGTGTGCAAAGACAGGGCTGCTGTTAACGTCGGCCTGTACAGCAGCACTGCGCTAAAACAGCTGATCACAACGTTCACACGCTCTGTGGTCACGAAGCTCTGCACTCTACNGATCATTTTCTGATAACGATTAAATAGCCCCGCCTCCCTCTCCCCACGTCTCCTGCCCACAGTGCCCAGAGATCAGCTGCTGGGCTGTCAGAAGAGGGGGAGGAAAAGAGAGGCTCCGTATTATTATTATTATAGAGTCGTTATCAATTTGTTATAAAGCTCAATAAATAACAAAGAAGACCTCTGACCGGCACTTTTCTAATTTTGTACGGAAGATTTAAACTTCAACGGACATGTTGACCGGCGAAAAAAATGTTAACATCATAGAACGTAATGAAGCTGCAGACGCGTTGAATGGTTTTGTATTGTCAATAAAGTATATGGTCTCGTTTCTCTCCTCAGATTGAAGCTCTACAGGAAGTCTTGGAGCGATTAAAGAACAAACAGCTGCCGTCGTCAGAGAGGAAGCTCGGCTGGCTTCCTGCAGTAAGATCTATTATTTATTTATCTCTTAAAGGTAGGGTAGGTAAGAATGGAGAAATCAGCTCGAGTGCGCTAGAATTTGAAAGTACACAACTTCCTTACAGAGCCCCTCCTCCAACACACACGAACGCGCACATGACCAATGAGGGCACGAGATAAGTTTGTGCACAGATGGAAGGCTGACAGGCAGGTAGGCCATCCAGTTATTTTAGCCGGGCCGGCTCAGATGATTGGTCGTGCTTTTTACAGCGCCACGGCTTCCACAGATGAATTTTTTTGTATGTATTTATTGTCAAAGCATTTAATATATTCATTGCTATCGGGATGTTAAGAGCATTCCATGGAATATAACAAAGTGTTTCTGAAGTGAATTACCTACCCCAGCTTTAACAAACCTGTCATTTCCCTCAAATGGTTCTAAAGGTCTGCATGGGTCCACTTAGTTATGGATCTGTATGTTATCTCTGTATCAATGTTACGATGTATTAGAGCTGAGAACAATAGTATGAAATCAGAAATCAGGTTTATCACCAGGTAGGTTGACACGTACGAGGAATTTGACTTGGTGTTGTGGTGCATACATACAAATTAAAAACACACATAGAAAACTATTTTAAGATATACTTAACGATGCTCTACATCTCATGAGTTGTTGCAGCAGTTTTTGAGTTCCCATTATGTATCACACGGATATGGTGCATGAGTTGGTCTTAAATATTTGTTGTACTCGGGATCCAAGGAGAACAAATGCTCCATGAATGTACACCTGCTTTATTTATTCTGTGTGTGTCTGTGCGTATGTGTGTCAGTGTGATGCAGGGGAGCAGTGTGCGGTGCGTAAAGGCGCGAGGATCGGGAAGTTGTGTGGATGTCGCGGAGGAACCGTCTGTGACTACATCGTCCTCAAGTGTCTGTAGCAACTTCCTGTCGTTCTGAACTACAAAATAAAGGCGGCTTTTTCAAAACTCCACTTCTCTTTTTCTATTCTGCTAAATCTTAATGAAACATGAAAGTAGCTAGAAAAAGATCAGAAGAAGACGCATCATTTAAATCATTAATATAGGATAATTTTACATTTGTTGGCCCATGGGACACTCCCTTCAGGTAGCCTACAATGTGGTTTTACCTTTTTGGAAAAAGCCCCATTTAAACCATAGACTGTATATATAATTATAGATTTAAACCCAATATCTTGAGGTTTTTAACAAAGTAGATCTTATTGTGAAAAGCCTAATATTTACCCAAAAGGATGTGACATGTACATGGCAGTTATACATGTGAACGCTTATTCAGGTTAAAAGTATTAAAAGTTGATAAATCAATTTAGCTAAAGTTAAGGCTATTAAAAAGTATGAAACGGCATTTTCCAAGGTATACATTTTGTAGCTTGTTTTCAATAGAAGTATATAAATTGTCCAAAGAGGTTGTATTCTACAGTCTGCCTGGACGACATTTCATGTCCCCCATATAAAAAATCTAATAATCCATGCCCAAAATGCTAAAACATGCACTTGTTGTTTTAAACATACTTGTCTTGAGATAAAATGTATATAAAGTTGTAGAAAAAGTGGTTTCAAAATATTATTTAAATGATCAAATAAATAGCTCTCGACTCGAACACCCCCTAAAATGGCATTTTTCTCTTGTCCCCGCTTCATGGTGACCAACTTGCATGTCAAATATAACATTTAAAATAGGGTTTTTATT